CTAAGGACACCATGTTGATTTTGAAAGTAATTGTCACCAGTCTTCCCTCCTTGTTCGATCACCTTCAAATAGCATGTTTTATCGATCTGTAAGAGTTTCAAATAAAGCTATTGAAAACTTGCTTCTTATATCTTCGTTATATAATGAAAATTAGGCATACTGGTAATATGTACAGCAAAAACAGTTCAATGTTAATAACTCGATATTCAGAGAGTGCTTCACATCAAAAGTCGGCACGTGCAAGTGTTGTGATTTGACAACTTAAACGTGTCAGTGTAGGTAGTAACTAGTGATCTTGTAGAGAGACAAGTTCGACCTGTAATCATTTTAAAGATCGAGAAGTTTAATACATCTATCAAGTAGTAACCTTTCAAATTATTCTAATAACAATTACCAAAGGGATGGAGAGTTCATTATCGATCAATAAGCGTCATAGTGACTGCAATGTAAACAAATGATTTCACAAAAGTTTCAATAATTCAAAATAATTCAAAGATTATACGCTAGCCGTTCGTTAAGATCAAAACAAATAAAGAAATTTAGATGTACTATAGCTTAAATGAATGCAGGAAAGGGCTAAATTTCTATGAGTCTTGACCGAGTAGCGAGTTAAAATTTACATGATTCGTCAAGTAACATAGCCGTGAACTTGAATTTTATGTATTTACACAGAAATTTTGTAAATAGGTCTTTTCTCCTTTTAAATAAAAAGTGAAACAGTTTGCAGGTTTTTACTTTGACTTCAGTGGAAGGAGGATTGGTGACAATTACTTTCGAAATCAACATGGCGTCCTCAGCGTCAGGTCGTCATGTTCGTTTGTTTGTAGTGGATGATGTACTGTCAAAACTAAAACGTTTTTCGTTTAACAAAGGAAAAGTAAAAGAAGTAATTGTTCGAATAGGGAGTTCTTTACATTTTCATAGAGAGAAATATTTGTTCCTTTCTTCAAGTAAGAATAGTGATCACAAGCGTTTCGATCTAGTTGAAGTTATTACGTAAATAAATGTCTACGTTCTCGCCGTTGGATCTTATTGAAAGTGACATGTGAAGGTGAGATGTCTTATCAGTATCAATTAGTATACCTTTTATATTGATGTTTCTCACTTATAATTGTTGTGCGAAATGACCACTAAGAATTGTGCAAACGTTCCAAAACTTGTGCTAAAAGACTTGTGCGGAGAAGTTATATGTCAATCACTTCTGGGAGTTTAAGGGTTAACCCCTTCACTCCCAAGATCTCAGAGCAATTCTCATCACTGTCTGCAGTACAATTCTTATAGTGCTGTTTCAGAAGATTTGATATTGGATAAACAAATTATCCCCTAATTTATAATTTCCTCTAATCTCATTATTTCTCTCTTAACCCTTTAACTCCCAAGATCTCATTAGTAATTCTCTCAACTGTCTGCTATACAGTTCTTGTGATCTTAGTTTGGAGAAATTGGTATTGGATCAACTTATAATCCCCTAACCTATACTTTTCTTCATTCTCATCACTTGTCTGCTTGATATTCTATTGATATTGTAAGGAGAAATTCTGTCTTGGTCACTCATGGGAGTTAAAGGGTTAATATTACACTGATATTGTGAGGAGAAATTATGTGCTGGTCAGTCATGATGGTTTAAGGGTTAATACAATCTCTAGGTCATGGGGTTTACATTTAAACTAATTTTTTCAAGTTAGTCATTTGTAGTTCTTAATACTAATATGCTCTGTTCCCTGTCATGTTTCTGACATCTAATATGATTATCTTTCATTTTCATTTTTTATCTATAAAAAACAAAAAATTTGAAGTCTGATGGGTTAGAAGTGGTTCAGCAAGGAGTAAAACATGACTACAAGTATTGTGGCTTCTACAAAGCCTATTAATTCTACAAACTCACATGTAAAGTGAATGAAAGCTAGTCACTTATGACACCCAAGTAAAAAACTTCTAAATGTTTCCGTACCATTCTTTATTTCAATTTCATTTTACTTGTTTGCAAATGCACTATGATGTAAAATTTATGTTAAATCTTAGTTTTACAAAGCAAAAAAATTTAGAACAACATAAGTACTCACAGAAACAACACAGTCTGTAACTTTAGTGGATAATTCTTTCTCAGAAATAGTCTTCAGTTTTGTCAGGAGCATGGCCATAATCTGTTCTGGTGAAAACACTTCCTCATTCCCCAGATAACGTAACTGCAACAAGAAGAAACAATTCAGGAATTTCTGTTTTCTGAGAATTTCATTTCCAAGAAATATCTTCCTTAGATAAGTTTTCAGTTGTTCTTAAATAATTTTATGAAATTAAGAGTAACATGGAAAGTAGTGTTCCAGAATTGAAAGTACAAAATATCTGAATGCAACATTGATCCACATAACTGCATTAAATAGTATAGTTATTCAAATGAAAATACAATAATCACGGCACAAACCAATCTATCAGAAAACAATTTCTTGCAAAGATATTGGCGCTATTCCAGGGACAAATTGGAACAATCCTAGAATTGCTA